TTTTTTCATGGAAATCTTGCAGTGTTTTTTTTTTAAGTTTAGAATTCAGCAAGATGGATTTAAGTCCTCCAGTGGTATCACCACCTGCATGAATTATTTATATTATATCATATTAATTATATTTCCTTTGGGGTTCCAACTGACGCACTCTAAGATAATCCGGGGAGTTCTTCATGTTTAATCGCCCCTCTCCAGACGGGCAACTAAATTGTCGAAATTTCAAGTTGAAACGGAATAATCTCAATTGCTATTTCAAGTGTGCATGATACGCGAAAAGTTTTACACAAAAGTGATGGGGGCTCCTCCCTTCCACTCTCCCTCCCGTATGCCCGTCGTAGCTGATCCCAGGAAATCGGGGACCTGAAGGCAAATTTAAAGCGATTTCCGGGATGTTTCTCCAATTTTTTTATTTATTTAGAATAGCGAGGTAAATGAATGCACGTGGAAGAACTGCATGTGACAAACCGGTAACACCGCCACAACGCGAGGTAACCTGCCACCATTAAAAACACTGCAAAAAAGTATTTTAGAAGAGAATGACCCAAGCTTCAAATGCATGACTTATTCACAAGGAAGCTTCAGAGTCCTTCCTGGTCCTCTATATTAATTACAAAATAAAATATGCATCGCGCTGACCGTTTTTTGTCAGTCACGGTAAGATGTTGCTCAAAAAGCATTAAAGAATGGCATAAACCATTGTTTCCACGAATTTCGGGGCATGACCTCAGTATTCTGTTAATTTTGTATTTTTACATTTTCTTAATATCTTTTTTTAAGACACATACCTCCTGGATTGCTTGAGGAAGTCTGTCTTGCAGGAATCGTGGCTGCAAACCTTGCGGTTCAAGTTGGATTGTTTTTCGTTGGCTGAAGGCAATGAGGGATTTTGGGGAGGTGATTGGAAATCGGTCATCGGTTTCGGGATTAAGGGGATTAGAGGGATTTGAGCGTGCATACGCCCCTAAGTTTGAGCTGCCAAACGGTGGGATCCTTGAAAATTGGGGCTTCCCATGAATGGTATAATTGAGTGTATTGACACCATATGCCGGTGTTTTTCTTCACATTAATTTAGGGACGAGGTATGCGAGAAGATGAAAAAGCCTCCCGGTGGCCGGTCGCATCTTCCGGTGACGAATCCCCTGGAAATAACCTATTCTGGCTTACATTACTGCGTTCGCGATGGACGGAGAGGTAGAAAGCGTCCTTAGAGTCGGTATATTGAGGGGGAAGGCGAACGCTCCTGATGAGAATTCTTTGACGCAGGGATGAAGGAGATCCTGAAGGGTCTGGACGGGCGGATGAAGCCAGGGGAGCTGACGGCCATCATGGGACCCAGCGGGGCCGGGAAGACCTGCCTCATGAACGTTCTCGCCGGTTATAGGTTGCCTTCTCCATGACATACTCCTCCTTCCAAACACGTTTCCCCACTAGCTTCATCCACACTAATCAAACTAATCATCATATTTATGAAGGCAAAGCATGTAAGTATGGTCTGTATCCTGAATCCTTGTGCAGCGGTCTTGCCTGCTCGCAGGAGGACCGCCATAAAAGGGATTAGCGCTTGTTAACTGATTTGATATAAGACTCAAAAAATGAAATTTCAAGGAAGGAGGGATGTGAGGACAGGCCATGAAGCTCGGGCATTTGAAAACGAAAATTCCCCTTCATCAACATTATTGCTCTCATTTGTAATTATCGGCAGTGACAGTCATGAAAAACATTACCCTTGACTCCTTGAGAGTCTACTGCGTGCCCAAGGATTCAGGATATCGACTATACTTGTTGATTCATTGTCTAAGTGGAAAGTCAGATGTGTCACTGGGGATTTAACATCACAGTGATAGCGTAATATGCTGGCTTGCTTACTTATGCTGTTTTTCTCGTATTAGATCACATTTACTGGTCAATTCAGGAAAATAGTTACATGGGCTATATCACAGTTTTGCTTTCTTACACCTTTGTATTGTATGATAGAAATAATGGACATTGGTAACAATCAAATGACATTGTTGTGACATATCTTTAAATTTATGACATATTATCACTAGGAGAGTTAATGTCAGTACACAATAGCAAGCTACAAAAACCAGATGATGCAAATTTTGGACTGGCCGCTAATACTCGTACCTTCCTTCTCCAATTATTAGCACCAGAGTTAAAGACGCTCTGATATTTCTCTCATGAAACATGTGGATGTCCATATATACCACAGAGTGAAGGGGGTGACAGGGAGCGTGGAGGTGAACGGGCGCGAGAGGGACCTGCGCGTGTTTCGCCACCTGAGCACGTACATCCCCCAGCAGGACCAGACGATCCCCACCCTCACGGTCATGGAGTCCATGCTTGTCGCCGCCAGTCTCAAACTACCGAGCTCTGTGTCTTTCGAAGACAAACTTGCAGCTGTATGTCTGTCATCCTCCACTTTTCTTTCACACAGGCCAAATTATATTAATGACTATTTTTTGACCAGAAATAAAATTAAGCATGGGGTATCTTCTCTCTTCCCCTCTCTCTGAAAGGTTAGGAAGACACCCCAAACTCAGAAACAAGTTTAAATTTCTTGAGCAGAGCATTCCATGTTTTTCGTGAAAGATCTTTTCACTCTAAGAAATTAAATTTTCGAGTGATCCATGCCTTGCTCTGAATTTCATGAGAATGGAATTACGGTTATCTAACTGCAGGTTGAAGAGATTCTGGAGCATCTGGGGATCCAGCACTGTGCCAAGACAAAGGCTGGGCATCTGTCTGGTGGAGAGAGGAAGCGCCTCTGCATCGCCATGGAGCTTGTCAGTAACCCCCCAGTCCTGTTCCTTGATGAACCCACCAAGTAAGCAAGAGCTTATATGCATCTATTAATTGATGATGTTTCTCAGCATTGTGTGCAGAAACAGAAACTCTGAAATGTTACAGTATTACTTCACTTCATTTTGATATGTGAACAGATTGTGCTGTTACTCTCAAATCAGATGACTCCCTTGACATTTTACTGTTTCCTGAGGATGACTTCTGTCTGTCCTGACTTCCTCTTATCAAATCCCAGTCCACAAAAGAATAAGACCATGATAACATTGGGATAAAGCCCTTGGACATGGCTATCAAAACGCCATGTTTCAAGCCATATATTGATATTTTTGATGCATTATGGGTTACGTACAATAGGATGGTGCATTTCATGATCTTAAAAGTAATATGGCAAAATTAATTAATTTTGAATGTTATTAACTGCTGAATGCCTTCAGATAACTTTGACATGTTATTATGAAGGCTAATTATTGATAATGCAGCGCACTGGACAGTTCTACTTGCCTGCAATGTGTGTCCCTCTTGAGGATGTTGGCTCACGAGGGCCGAAGCGTGATCTGCACCATCCACCACCCCAGCGCAAAGATCCTGGAGATGTTCGATCATCTGATTATCCTCACCGAAGGCCAATGCCTATACCATGGCACCATCTCTTCAATGGTGACATATCTTCGACAATTTGGTCTGCATTGTCCGCCATATCATAACCCAGCAGATTTTGGTACGTATCTTATATGGCGGGGGACGAGGTAGTGTAGGTATAACAGCAACTGTTGGTTGAATGAAATAGTGGTTTGGTGTTAATGTGAGTGTATTTGTGTTTTTAGCTTCTCCTAGTTATTGAAATCACTTCGTGTTTGTGGAAAAACATTTGATTCCTAATTTAAGGTAAATCATGTGAGGAATGAGGTGAAAATACACTCATCGCCAAAAAAAGTCACACCAAGAAGTAGTTGAGCGATCTTGATGAAATTTGGTTATGATACTCGTATTAGTGCGTCATGAAATTAATGCTAGCTTCAAGGTCGTAGGTTGAATATTGGCAGAGGAAACCTGTCAAACATCCCAATTTAAATGGGGTCGGAAGGGTCGTACTAATCGCCCAAGAAAAAGATCTATTAATATCAGGTTGTAAAGGTGAAATTTAGACATTTTCCTTTACAAATACTAAAAACAGAATGCTTGATATCATTCCATGCTGCAGTGCACTGACACGCTCACATTTGTAGATGCTCTTGCATATTCGATTGGGGGCACACGTATTGGTGGCTCTGTTTCTGGGATTGAAGGACGTAGATTCTCCGAGACCGAATCGCTACTACCCGTGTTCACGGAAGGTACTGGTGGTGGGGGCAGGTAGTCAGCCAGGTCGTCTAGACCGCAATCCAAGTTGGATTGCACGCCGCTACACAGTCCTAAAGGAAGTCCTTTGGCCGGTCCCCAGCCACCATCATGCCAGCTAACCGACCTCTATCGAACTGGTGAAGTTGGCTAAAGAAAAGGAAACTGACCTGATCAGGGCAGTCGCCCCATTCCTCATCCATCGTGGCGTTACGCTAGCTCGGCAAGTTTTCCCTGCATCGCTTCATCCTATGACCTTGAGACTTTGCACCATTGTACTAAATATCAGTAGAAGTTCCAGTATCGTATTTCGTTAATAAACTCCTTCTAGGTGTTCTTCATGGGCGATAAGTATCACCCCTCCGACCTCATTTTAATTGGGATGTTTGGCAAGTTTTCTCTGCGAATTTTCAACCTGCGACCTTGAAACTAGCATCAATTTCATGACGCATTAATACAAGTATGATTACCAAATTTCATCAAGATCACTCACTCTTTCTTGGTGTGACTTATTTGGCGATGAGTTTATGTCTCACATTCACTCTGGGAAGGATGTGATATATCCAAGGATTTGTTCGTTGGACATAACAGCAACTTCGGTTAATATGTTCCAAAGGAAAGTTCACAATTCTCTCCATTTTTTTTCCAAGCGCAAGAGCATGAATGATAGCTGAAAAAGAGATTTAAATATATATATAAAATGAGCTGGTACATGAAGAGAGAGTTGTTTTCCTTTTGTGTTCATCATTGAACACTATTGAACATAGAAACATCATTGAAGCATCAAGCTCTGGGAGTTGAAAAATGTTAAATTAAATACTCAAATGGGTATCCATAGAGATATTGTTTTTGAGTCTTCCCAGAATTCGGTTTAATCCCCCGAGATCACAATATCACTGAAACTGGATTGGAATGTGCATCCAGTTCCAATTCTTAATTTCTTGTGAATCCTCGTAATTGCTTATCTTCACCATCCTTCAGGAGGATAAATCTTTTTTTGCGCGCTCTGAAGTCAATTGAAAGAGGGGTAACATGTGCGCAATGCAAGTTTCGTGAAAATCTCTCAAAGGAGATGCCGAGGTTCAAAATTGGAGTCTTTTTGTCATTTGTGTTGACAGAGAATATGGTACTTCTTTTATGTTGCTTGGCTTACGGGATGCAGTGATGGACGTGGCCGTTGGTGACAACGGGCGGGAAGCCATGAACACCTTGTTCGCCGCAGCCAAAGCGGAAGCCACAACGCCCTCCAAGCGGGAGGGCCCTGACCCCCAGGTTCCCCTGTGCCTTGAGGGCAAGCCTCCACCTTCCACCACTGTATCTGGTATGCATTTCTCCTGACAATCAGGTTCTTTAAGTCATGAAAAGGCAAAAATGTGAATTTCGCCATTCATTTCATTGACTCACTCTTGAAGGAAGTCTATGGGAGCATTCTGTCCCTCAAGCCCATTCGAAAAAATGAGGTTTCTGAAAAGCCACAGTAACTCATACCCATGATAAACAGACCAATCACTAATGTTGGATGTCCCTCCTCTAGTGTTGGTAGCAGCATCAGGTGATGCAAAGGGTTTTCCTCATCACACAATTTTCGCATTTTATTTTTTTTTGGTTTCTGTGGAATCAAGGGAAGTTACTCATGTCAGCGGTGTCCCCTATATTCCTGCACACTCATAAATGCATGGACTAGAAACTATAATGGGTAAACATGAATGAATGGGAAAAACAAACCACTTGGGATGTGCATGACTGATTTTGAATTGATGTTTGATGTGTTAATGTTTACACGATGCACTGGAGTAAAAGGAGATGAAATTGTGCATGAATGTGGATCATCGTCTGTTCTACCTTAGTACAAATATATATTTTTTACTTAAAAAATCACTCAAATATATATGTTTTTAAGACTACCTACAGTATTTTCCTGTGTGTGCTGCAATAAAAAGTAAATTAGGGCTGTATTAGGGTTTGTATTCCTGTAGGAACCACATCACTTCTAAAAGTTCATTAAAATGTTTTGTATTTATTTCTAATTAATTCTGTAAACTAATGTAGCTCGTGTTCATACGCAACATAGGGAAAAATTTGCCGCCTGTATGTAGGTTCGGCTCTCTAAGAGGCCCACCTGGTTGCACATCTGCAAGGAAACACACCAGTGATTGTTTTTCTCCTTCCATATATTCAACCCGATATGCCATGAGGCACTCCTTGAAATCCCCGGACAGGCCGTAACATTTTACACATACCGTGTTTCATTACGAACACCCTTCATACAGACGATCGTGTCACTGACTGAATGACATTAATTCTAACCTTGATGAGAGGTAATGATGAGAGATTGACATTTTGAATACGAATAGTGGCTAGATTGCTGACTCCAGAAAAAATGTCATCTGTGGAGGTATATGCCCTGGAAGAATATTTCGCAAGGGAATGATTTAACAAGCCAGGGCCAAACCCCACGAATGGATTCTTACAAGGGTATACAGGGTGTCCCACTCGGAAGTATCCATTTTATTTTTCTGATTATTACATGTATGTACCACCTTCCAGTTGAAACCGATGTGGGACAGTTAATGTAGTCTTTGAGGCTTTGTTTAGCACTCAATATGTCCACCTTCTCTTTCAACACACTTCTGGAGACGTCCGACAAAATTATCCACCGCTTTTACACAGACGACACGGGATACACCCTGAACAGCACCAGTGATTCGATCTCGTAGCTCATCAAAGGGCTGTCGAGGCGTAGCATGAACCTTGTTCTTTGTGCCCACAAACCACAAACCCCACAAGAAAGCGTCTCCAGAAATGTGTTGAAAGAGAAGGTGGACATATTGAATACTAAACAAAACTTCAAAGACTAAACTAACCGCCCCACATCAGTTTCAACTGGAAAGTTTTAGATACCTGTGATAATCATTAAAATAAAATGGATATCTCTGTGTGGGACACTGTACTACTTTTGTGAACATACTCCTCCATCAATGAGGAAAATAAATAGCTGTTGGATTGTGTACTACATATAGCGTTCGGAATTGTAGGTACGTGCACTAAAGGGAGTGGTTTAATCAGCCTATACCAATTTTTATTCCATTTATATTTGGAACTTTCTGGCCTACTGACCAAGAATCTTGCTGCCTTAGGCTGAGGCCTTTTGGCTTGTGACTTTCTAGATCATAGGCTGGATGGAGTGAAACTGATTGATGCGCTCGCTGATGCGAATGGGTTATACAAGATTCCCATGTACAAGGGCACACTTTTCAAGAGCGCATTTTTGTTGTAGGCGGCTCTGACGTGACCGTGAATTACTATTAATCACTAACAGATCGCCAGCGTGTTCGATGTTACAATGACTCCGTTGACTCCTTAATAATATTATGAATTTATTATGAAAACCAGTATTGGGGGAAATCCACTAAGATAAAGGTCTGAAAGGATGGTGGGGATACACCCAGCGGCTGATTGGTCAGCTTCCTATACAATATATGGAAGAAAGACAATACCTGTGTAATTGAGACTGTGACAAAACTACATTGCTACTTGAAAGCTGGCTCGTTACTCCCAAAGGGGTTGTCATTATTGTTCTTTTTGTTCCACCTTCAAGGTGGCACAACCACCGTGTTCCCACTACATGGCTCTCGATCCAACCACTGCCTTGACTCACAGCCCTGCACGCACTCCCTCCACATTACTCCTGATCTGACTGCCCTGTTCTATTCTCTCACTCCACCATGCACTTTCTCGCGGTCTTTTATAACCCTTACTTCAAGACGTGCGTGCAAGTTCATCCGTCCAACCCGATTAGTAAGGTGATTATTAATAGGTAACTTCTACATAGGTGTGATCCTTTCAAGGATATTTTTTTCCCGGTTACATGCAAGGGAAAAAAGATAGACTTACCTGCAGTATGCTTTTTTCAGACTTGAAATATCTATAACGGTGGCTTGAATATTGAATTTCGGTTAGGAACAATCGGCGTTGCGGTCACCGGCTGCATCGAATAGTCCTCGCGACGTCATAACCGAAATTCCATATTTATTTCCAATTCAGCGTTTGAGATTTTTGAAGTCTGAAATCAAATTTTCACGGCTACGTCTGTCTTCTTTCCGTGACATGTAACTGAAAAAAAAATCATTGAAAGTATCGCACCTAAAATGCGTATTGAAAAGTGCGACCTATTTTTGAGTCACCCTGTACATGTTTTTCTATCGCGGGAAACAATAGGTAGATTTTCCCTAGACATTGAGATTCAGTGTGGCTATGCCCAATCCACTTACGGACGCTCGGAGCAATGGAATTTCTTTGCACGCACTTCCTTCAACGAAACGGGCTTTGGGTTGCATTTACATCATCAGGAAATTTTTCATGGGTATACAGCCTTTGGAAGCGATTCAGAAATGGAGGTCACTAGAGTTCTGGTGCCAAATATTGACATGTTCAGATATAGATATGAAAGTTCAAATGTGATTCTTCAACAGGACTTTGGAACAGGTTGAATAATTCTGCCAGACGCGCGGAGACGAAGCCGCGATCCACCCCCCCGTGTACCCAGTACCCCGTGTCCTTCGCGGTGCAGGTCAAGTACTTGTTCATGCGGTTCTACAAGATCAACACCAGGGACTGGGTGAGACTTTCGACTGTTTCCAGAATTAACTGCTGAAGCAAATGAGTGATGTCAGTGTCACTGGGAGGCATTAACAATTGACCCATCGGTTATGTTAAATTGAAAAAGCATCAATGAAGCTGGTTCTACCCTTCAGACTTGCAGGTATGCACTCCATGTCTACAGTGCCAATGATTTCAAGCGTATGTTCAAGTTCTGCCACCAGCCCGTCGCAGTGCATTATGTCAATGACATTCGGCCTTAGCATCTGTAGAAAATATTTGTTGGAGCCATGTGATTCAAAGGTGCTTGATGTGCAGCAGACATATTAAGTGATGACTAACTTAATCCTTACAGAAGGAGATTTGTTTGCGCAAAATATGGCATAGATTCAGAGCAAAATATGATATAGATTCTCATGAAATGAGTCGTGCAGTGCCAGTTCATTAAAGAAGAAATGTCATCGTGCCACTCATGCCCATGGGCCCATCAAAATCGGGGGATGATTGGGCCGGGCCCACTGCAAGTTGTGCAATGAACGGCTTCCAGTTTGGCATTTAAATAATTTTAGGCAACATCATTTTGCAATGAAAGGGAAAGACGTGGGAGGAGATGCATTCTTGCCCTGGGAAATTATATGCAAAGGGGAAGAATACTTTCTCAATTGCTGCGTTTTGATCACATTTATTCTGGTGCTTGAAGGTTCATGCAGGAAAATTTCAAAAAGCATTCTGCATATGTCATGGCCACTGCAAAGAAAGGCATCAATTTCAGTCTACATTCGCATGCGACCAGAAATGATGATTGGTCTTGTATGCACAGCACCCGAGTCAGTCGCGATCCAACCCAAGGTTCCTTGTATCGGATTCCAAGCAGGATTGCTAGATAGCCTCATGCCTCACCTGATTTGAGCGTAGTTCTTGCCTATACAGGATCAGTACGGGAAAGTTGCTAAATTGAACTGCGTGCTTGCTGATCTTGGTGAAAGAAAATTACTGCAAATTTTCTACACTGGTGGACAAAATTAAGGTAACTGTTTTTCGTCAATACTTTAATGACAATAGTAAATTACAATTTCAAAATAGGTTACTATATGTAATTTTACATGAAAATTCTGAATATTCAATCCAAATTTATATGCGTGCGTTGCAACATGCAAATTAGTGAAGCTTAAAAAAGGCTATTGACTTCTTCTAGGCATGTCTGCTGGAACATGTAATTTTTCGCTTCATGATGTAATTATCACAACTCTGTTATTACCGGTTCAAAGTCTCTCATTTTTATACACTTATTGGTATGGATAAATCTTTTTTATCTATGCAAGTTTTAATTCCTATTTCTCACAAAATAAAAATGTGATTCTGGTTTTCGTGATTGTTGCCTTAGTGGTGTCCACTAGTGTATTAATTCGTGGATTCATTCGTGAAGACTCGTCCGAATTGCCTTAATTTTTCGTTTCCTTTATGGCAATGCCTTGTAAAACATGGCCTACTTATTCCTTTGTCGTTTCGACTGTAAAATCTGAATTAACCATCTATCGTACTTGCTGATGAGGCTTGAAGTCTTCATTTTAGATGGAAACATTCCATTGAATAAACAAACGAATATATCAGGTCACAGGAGTTTACCCAAGATGCCACCTCTGCCTGATGTCACATGTGGTAGCCATAGTTGTCTTCATTTCCACTTGCTTGACAAAAGACTTCATTGTTCAAGAAGCTCCAATTGTCTCTCTATATGACAGTGGGAACTGTTGAATTGACCAGTGGGGGGGGTTTCGGTTTTAGACCTGATTCTAGATGTAGGTTTGCGATTGAAGGACTACATAAGCCACATAAAATTTTAATTATATACAATGCCAACTTAATGTGTATCACCTTTGAATGTCCATCTGTCGGAAGTTAAGGTTATTTATTCCCAGCTTTTGAGAAGAATGTGCAAAATTTTCCCAGTGGATTTATTCATTCATTTAGAATTAGGTTTAACTTCAAATTAGAGTAAAAATCATATATATTTTCCACTCTTGACATGCTTTACAAATACTAAAAACAGAATGCTTGATATCATTCCATGCTGCAGTGCACTGACACGCTCACATTTGTAGATGCTCTTGCATATTCGATTGGGGGCACACGTATTGGTGGCTCTGTTTCTGGGATTCCTCTTCTCCGGCCTGGGCGACAACGCCACCAACGTGCATGGCAATGTCGGGACGCTCTACTTCAGCGTCCTCTTTGTCGTCTGTGGCTCCATGATGCCGACCGTGGTAACGTGTGAGTTTCTCCATGCCTTCATACAAAGAGAGGTCCAGTTTGATGAAGCCAAACCGCTGAACTCAGTTGAAATATATTAATGTTCAGGTGTCAGTTTTTTGTTTTTCCTGTACAGGGAATATCATCCATGAAATTATTCGGTAATACAGGTACTTTTTCACATAATCCATGGGATGGAATTATAACTGGTATGGAAAATAAGGCCCCTCTTTATTCCCACAAAAATGCAAAAAAAAGAAAAAAAATAGAAATAGAATGAATATTTTAATAGATGGCAATGATTTTTCCCCTAAACTTTCTCATATTAGATTTTCACGGATTTTCTGCTTTATCTGAGTATGCTACAAGCAGTTTCACCTTACAGGTGTTCGATTCGCAAGTGTTACTAATGGACAATTTGTTGGATGGTCCTCACTTTAGACCCATTGGAATTCCCTGTGCTACGGAAAGAGACGCTCAACAAGTGGTACTCCCTTAAAGCGTACCACATGGCCAAGACACTTTCCGACATCCCCTTCGCTGTGAGAGACATCAGCTTTCCCTTTCCCCATTCGAGCCCTGCATCTGCTCATTGCAAATGTGATGTGTCTGTAGGCGTTTTGTACTTCCGTGTACCTGACGATCACTTACTTCATGACTGCACAGCCGATGGACGCTGACAGGTTTTTCAGGTATCTTGCTCTTGGCGTGTATGTTGCGCTCATCTCCCAAACTCTTGGATTCATGTTCGGGACGATCTTTCCCATTCAGGTCAGTCGCAATCTATTGTTTGTATTGAATCTGTATTCTTCACTGGAACTTTGGAAGCTCTGTTTTTTTTCCTGATCAAGCAAAGGTGATGAGCACTAAGGCAGGATGGAATGTTCAACGAGAGCCACTGATGACTTTTCTGTTGTGTTGTTCACGCCTGTGCAGATCACTAGCATCTTTGCCAATATATAAAGGATTCCAGGCCAATGGATAGTTCAACCTTGTGATGCATTACAGCTCATTTGTAATCAAGGCTGACATTTAATTGTGAATGGATTTTTGAAGGGCATCGTTCAAGATAATCGATTTTTCTTGCATTTGGGGAAGAGGAAAAACATCCTCTGGTAATTGATGCTCTGAA